TGGTAAGCGGATGCTGATATCGCAAACTAGGTAGTTCTTGATAGTCGTAGTAGTTGGTAGTTCGATTGGTTCAAATTGAATGATGCTGTGTTGTTGGTTTGATTGTTGATATTATCTAACATCAAGCAACAGTGATAAATATATAGAAAATGTTATGACTGGTTCCTATCTAGAACACAAGTTACAACAAACTGCCTATTCAAATCGCGGGGCTCCAGTTACTAATACGAAATGAGCTACTGTATTGATTTTACACAGATCTTTTTGAATTAACACAAATAACCCAAATACATTAAATTCTTAAAATCACACCGTTCTCAAATTCTGAAATATCTATTTTTTTTAAAGTTTGGCGGTTCAACAAAATATCGACCAATTCAATCTTGAAGGAAGTCTCATCAAAATTTCGTAAACACCGTAATCTCTGTATTCACTTTTGACGCCATTTAATTTATTAGAGGAGAAGGCTCATCATTTTCTGAGGTTTTCCTTGCATATCTGTAAATAGTTTTCAGAAGTGCTAGATTTGCACGAAAACCTCACTATTCATTCAAGAATGCCCCCAAAATGCCCTAGAAAAGAAGCGAAAAATCTAAAAATGATCAATTATAAGAAAATAGGCAAACTGAAAGTAGGTTGAAATAGAAGTGATCCTGGTCACACAATTAGAATGCCCTTGAAATACATAAACGGAACTTGCTCCTCGGTGATATTACTATTACATATTCAAAATTTCATAAAATGCAGGATTTAAGATTAGCTATGTTTTCAAGGGCTTTCTTCCTCTTCCAAGTGACTAGGATGACCTGCCTTTTTCCTTTTCCACATTGTCCCTTTGTTACAGCCTCAACACTCAACAAAGAGTCTGTAAACACTAAGCCAAAATGTTTACAGTGTTTCTGTTGAGGGTTCCAGTTGGCTGTATTTGCTAGCGTACAATCCAATCCAATTGCAGTAATTGCAAGGTAGAAGCCGAAGGTCGCATAGTGAAGATGGTCATAACCTTGAGTCTGTTGGTTTCAGAGGAGACCAGGCCCGTAGCCAGACTTGATAGTTCGTAGGAGCAAGTAATATATCGGGAAGGCCAATGGTGTATGGTGTTTAGGTGCAGTAATGGAAATGGTCGGTTGTCAGAACTTTATCAAGGGTAGCCATTTTTTCGGGGCGACTGCCCCCACCCCCTTCTTTGCCTATTTTGCTTTCTTGTAGCTACGGTTCTACGGGTCAGCAACAGATAACAAAGTCTACTTTGATTCCAAATCAGTCTCTACTGGTGCTGGGTCCACACGGAACAAAAATATACATAACTATAATAATTCCCCAACCTAGCAGACCTGGTTAACACTACTAACTATCATCTGAGAAACAAGCCAATCTTTAAGAGTATTAAAGTCGTTTTATATTTTATGCCTAACCTTATATCAAATACACAAAACGGACAAAACCAACGTGCTCTTTCATTTACAAGGAAGAGGCGTTTTTCGATAAATGGGTGTCACTCGTACTACAAACTTGGTTAGTTCCAAAACGGTTCTGGCCCTGTCATACATTGAATATTGACGATAAGGCAGGCGTATACTCGTTGTATGAAACATTTGTCGAATACGCTGTCGCAGGTCGAATATGTATAATCTTAAAAATCGCGAGGGTATGCAACGTAATTTTACTTACACGAATATTTCGACGTATGCTGTCATGTCATGCTTATGACGGCCACTGGAATGGTCAATGCTAATTGGCTAGCATGGCTTGGATCAAAACATTGCTTCCGGAAGAGACACTTGGCAGCATTTCGCAAATTCTTTGCACCAATCTTTTCGATGTCATTTCCTTTCATTTCCATATCTGCCAACAATGCATCTTGGGAAATGTTGCACACAACTTGTCGACTTGCTCGGTACGACTGAAACAGTTTAACCGACAACCACTTTTAATGTAGACGAACAGTTTACCGATATCATTATAACCTACACAAGATTTTCACGCTTTCTGTTAACTAATCGGTTTTACAGACAGCTTCAGCCATTATCGTTTTTTACCGACCAATTCTGCGTTATATCTACAAGTTTAGTACCCCTTTCCCCCATTCATTTAATCTGCTCACATTATTGTACTGTTGCCATGCTTGTTCTGCCTACAAACGACTATGACACCTGTACATTGTTTTATATATTAGGTACCATTGTTATTTTATCTATTCTCCATGTATCATGATATAATATCTATACTAACTCTACATTCAATATATCTTTCTCATTATTGTACTGTTTTTATATTATGTATGCTACTCACCATGGGCGTATATTCAATAACTCTTATCTTATCTTATCTTATCTTGTCTTATCTCACCCAAATCTTATTTCTAACCAATGAGTAACGTATGTCGATTGAAAAATACAAAAGTGATTCATGATTAAGTGGTGACTTCCTTTTTGATATTACAGATATTTCCGTGGTATGCAACAAAACATCAGCCAAGTTAATATTTATAGGTCAATTACAATGACAGATTCAATTTTGACCCTAGCAATATCCCCTCGAAGTAAACCAATCAGCATTTAGTATCTAGGCCCATTGAAGGATACAAAATCATAATGATGTCATGGCAAAGATTAGTTTAAGGACGAAGAACTAATTATAGACATAGTGGTATCTGGTGTGTACAATGTTGGTGTTATAGTGGTAAGTAGCATACAACTAAACTTATAATTTGTTTTCATTGTTTCTGTTTATGTAGGTAACAAATTCATTACAGTATGAACTTTATCACAGACATTGAAGAAATTCTACTGTAAGTTTATGTACCCTACGAACAAATTTTCACATAGATTTTTGATATAAAGTTAACATTCATTGGTTTTAGTCAATTAAATGAACAGCACAAACACATTGAAAAATGAAGCACAGCTTTCAAATTCCACGTAAAAGCTACATACTAGGCAACAGAAGAATTATTCCTCAAATATATCGACTTGAAAGGCCAGTTGGCGCGGACTTTTTGACATAATGCCACTTAGTCGCAGGCTTTAAGTTTTCTAACAGAATTTCTTTGAATTTGCCGGAGACTTCTTACGATTTAACATGTCCAACTGCTCTTTTAGAAGATTTCGTGAAGAATTTTGGTGGAGTTGCTAAAACAGATTAATACAGGATAAAGACCGGTTACATCGCCTTTTTTGTCATTGATCGTGAAGAATTTTGGTGGAGTTGCTAAAACAGATTAATACAGGATAAAGACCGGTTACATCGCCTTGTTTGTCATTGATTGTGAAGAATTTTGGTGGAGTTGCTAAAACAGATTAATACAGGATAAAGACCGGTTACATCGCCTTGTTTGTCATTGATTGTGAAGAATTTTGGTGGAGTTGCTAAAACAGATTAATACAGGATAAAGACCGGTTACATCGCCTTGTTTGTCATTGATTGTGAAGAATTTTGGTGGAATTGCTAAAACAGATTAATACAGGATAAAGACCGGTTACATCGCCTTGTTTGTCATTGATTGTGAAGAATTTTGGTGGAGTTGCTAAAACAGATTAATACAGGATAAAGACCGGTTACATCGCCTTGTTTGTCATTGATTGTGAAGAATTTTGGTGGAGTTGCTAAAACAGATTAATACAGGATAAAGACCGGTTACATCGCCTTGTTTGTCATTGATTGTGAAGAATTTTGGTGGAGTTGCTAACACAGAATAATACACGATGAAGATCGGTTACACCGCCTTGTTTGTCATCGAGGTGCTGTTGAATATTTGGATGTCTTTTGGATACGAATCTGATGCCGTACTTAGTTGTGATGCTAAAGATTTGACAATAAGATGTGAGATAAATAACAATAATATCTCGACTGACATTTTAGCCAATATCATCAATCAAGTTAAAAATGGAAGTTCATTTGATCATCTTCGTATCCGTTGTAACAAAAAAAGTACAATATATTGGAACAGCTTAGCATTTATAGATACCTTTAAATCTTTGAGAGTGAAAACGTGTGTATGTGACACCAATCACACTGTTATCCAGATAAATGCCAGGAATTTGAAATCATTGCAATTCTTCGAAGTGAATACCGATTTTTTTCAGAATATTAAAATAGATAAAAATATTCAACTTACCACTCTGAAGATAAATAATTGTAGATTGCCAGCGATTCCTGAATTCGTTTTCAAGATGAACAGAAGTAAGATACAAAAACTATCTTTTAGGAGTAATCAGATAACTCATATGAACTGTGAATTGTTCAAAGGTGCACCTTGCCTTGACAAGAAATCTGACCTTAATCTGGCATTTAATCAAATTGTCCATATTCCTGATTGTATGTGTAGCTCGTCAATTAGAATGTGTTATGATATAGACTTAAATGAAAACAGAATACGTAATGTTTCAAATATTGAATGTTTAGATCAGATAATTGTTAAAGCAAATACAAACTCTATAGAGGCATTACCTATCTTCCCTTTCAATAAAATCAGAAAGTTTTTGTTTGGTTATAACAAGATTAAGAGGATACGCCGTGAAACGTTTATGAAATCAAAATCGTGTTCTGCTATATATTTGAAGAATAATAAAATAGAGGTGATTGAAGCCGGTGCGTTTAAAGGATTAAAACGCTTGATGATACTTAATTTACAAGGGAATAAATTAAGACATTTCGACGTCACTTATGCACCTTCTGGTTCTATTTTAACAGTGAATTTACAATATAATAGATTAATTCAGCCGCCATATAGCACAGGGGATTATAACATTCCTCGGAGACTTCGAATAAAAGCTTCAGAAAATCCGTATCAATGTGACTGCACACTAAGACATTTCAGCGATCGTTATAACCATGACAAGACCCGGGAGATACAAGAACTGCGCCCAGGGAATTCACGCAGAACTTATAAAGATATTGCACCAATATTTGTCGATGGTAAAGACTTTCAATGTAATTCTCCCGAAAGTGTTAAGAGAAGATTCGTGGTAGACCTAAATTTATCTTCCACGTGTATTGACGCTTGCCCAAGTAGCTGTACCTGTACTGCATCAATAGCTTTTTTTAACTCAACAACAGTAGATTGCTCATTCAGATCATTAACCAAGTTACCGATCTTTATGCCCAGTGGTTGTTTGTACATAGACATTTCATTAAATTCGATTTCTATTCTTCATAATAGAGATTATTTAAACAGAGCATTAAGTTTTAATATTAGTACCAATAAAATATTACATGTTAATGCAGATGCCGTAGCACGTCTACAGAACGTGAAATTTCTTGATTTAAGCTTTAATCAGTTATTGAGCATACCTCTTTCCTTTCGGTACAATTTATTTAACAAAACGGAAACAATATTTCTCTTAGGGAATGAGTGGAAGTGTTCCTGTGCCAATGTTTGGATGGGGGAATGGATTAATACCAACAGTCGTTTAATAGCCGATTGTGGTAACATACAATGTGTTGATTATTCATACAAATTTCATAATTTAATTGAGGTGACAAGTGAAATCTTAGAGTGTAAACAAACTCATGTAGATTCCATCGTTTGTGCTGTTTTAGTAATTGTGGTTCTACTTCTTGTTGTTCTATCAATCCCTGCTTTCATATATCGTCATGAAATCCGGGTTTTATATTATACAAGGATCAAGTTGCCGGTGCATTTCAGGTACCATTCGTCACAGAATACGTATGATGCCTTCATATCCTACAGTGAACATGACAGGCCTTTTGTAACCGATCTAGTTAATGAATTGGAAAATAAAGTCAATATGCCATACAAGATATGTATCCATGACAGAGATTTTCAAGTTGGAACACTTATAGCTGAAAACATCTCATTCTCTATAAATAATAGTAATATTACAATTTTTGTAGTTTCTGAACACTTTATTACCAGCGAATGGTGTACATTTGAATTTCAAACTGCTTATCGAACCATGCTTCGAGAGGAAAGTACAAAAATATTAGTTATAAAACGAGGTGAGGTCGATAACGAGAAACTAGATGAAAATCTGAGAGCTTATATCCGTACAAAATATTACATAAATGCCAACGATAAGTTGTTCTTTGATAAACTGATATATTCCTTACCAAATCCAAAGCCTAATCACTAACTATAATAAGAAAAAAGTTTAAGCCCTGATTTTCAAGTTGTTTGGTGAGGTAATTGGCAGAAAATCCCACTTGAAAACAGAATATGTATTAGTAACAGAACCAAAACGAAATAGAATCATATTTAGCTCCCTATATCTATAACCTCATCTTTTCAAAATTTAATTACTATATTTTTCAATTCTTCTGTTTTAGAACCTTCTAAGAAGTAGCCCTTGGCGTGTATTTTATATTTAATATATTTTATGAATAATATATAACATCAGATATTTTAAAATTGTATTATAAATATGTATAAATTGTATTTTATATTATTTGTAATATGTTTCTTTTGCCTCGGCGAAAATTTGTATTTTGAAAATTTGAAAGTCTATTTCTCTTGACCTTTACCTATAAGTAAATAGTAGTGTAGAATCTCAACTATGTAAAGATATACTTATATTGGATGGAAAGCAGGACTTAAGATTTTATAGTCCACCGAAAATACCATTTTTGTCATTTTGGGCGGCTATACCACATTCTCTAAGGGATTTGATTTTTTCAAATAATTAATGACCTTAAAATTCTCTTTTTGGTAATATATTACAATACATGAATCATCCCATATCAATGTGGTTTACATTATTAGAATGCACTCGTAATTCTCTTTTTACTGATATGTAACTTGAATGATTTGCTACAAAACTTCAAATTGTCAAATATGGCTTAATTATTAGATACAATTTTGTGGTTTTATTTCTG